AAATTATTAGTGTTTCTATTATAATATAACAAGGCTAAAATTTGGAAATTCTGGCACAGCAGCCTATTATTCAGGGTAGAAACAGAGTTACATACTGGCCATACCCCAGAGAGGAAGCTCTTCAGGACTATGTGTGCTCACTCAAAACAATGGAATGACTATTTGCACTGAAGGCACTGCACTACTGCTGAGGAATCCTCATTAGGGGGCACAACACCCCTTACAGAATGTTAAACAAGAAGGGATCTAGAAGGGCTCAGGGCACTGGAAAACAACAAAGCAAACAAACATAAATGAACTCAGCTTTTAAATGAGCAGAGAATATCTCTTATTTTCTAAGTATTTTTAAAAGTCTAATAGCAAATGCTTGTTAGCAAATGCTAATAAAAAATTTTAAAGTAAAACATTTAAGTATTTTTAAAGTAAGCTTTTTTCTATAGATTTAGAGAACAGCAAAGAGCAAAACCCACTGAGAATTTATGAATATTTTAGAATGTTGGAAACTATAAATGAAAAACAGAAAATCTAACAAAGTGCTCTCTTTCCCCATCAACGGGTCAGAAATAACACAATGGCTTTTTTTATTATTGTACCTCCCACAGGCTTTTTCTTGCCAAAGCCAAGAAACCTCAAGGACACACAAAAAACATTCAAAACACTTTCCTGTCTCCTCCAATCCTAATTCCAACAAAAAACTTGTAGGAGTTGGCTTCAAATTTAGGCTTGTAATGAAATGTGAATTCTTAAAATATGGAGATTGGCTGCTAAATTCTTTTGTGCCTAAAATTGATGGAAAGTAAAATATACTGAAATATTTAAAATGTGTCTCCTTCTTACTATAACAAGCAAGGGCTAGCTGAAATACTATAATTAGTCTCCCTAAAATGGGTCTAAACCCCTTCCTTGCCATTAAAAAAATGATTCTAGGTACAGAGGTAACCCTTGTGCTTCCTTTTTACAAATCATGCAGCATAGACATAACCTTTGAAACAACCTCGAAAATGCCCCCAATAATGCAGTTACTATGGTAACTCTTATAGGCTAGTTCTCTGAAGACTCAGATTCCTGAATCTGAACAAGGTTACCTCACCATCTTCTACACTTTCCCCTTCTCATAAAATTTATCCTTTATCATAACACTTACAAATCCAATAGAAAAATATCTACCCCATTAACCATACAAACCCTATTTTTTCGGATCAAGGATTTTTTTTAAGGTAATGAAGGCAGATTTTTTTTTTATATAAACTTTTTTTTTTTAA